GGGATGGGAGTGTCAGAGACAGTGCGATTGGCACAGGAGAGAGCGGAGTTTAGGGCTGTTGTACATAGGGTCGCTATGAGTCACAAGCGACTCGATGGCACATAACAACAACAACATTGCTTTTGTTGGTACCATCAAGTTGGAACACACCCATAGCTGACCTTCTGGTGGATTTTCAGAGGCAGTAAATAGCACAGGAGGAGGTTGTCCATCCTTCTCTCACAGAGCAGATGGTGGATTTGAACTACATGTCTTTGGGACTTCAGCGTGGTTTCTTACCACTTGGCCACCAGAGCTCCTATATGCCACTTTTTATCTCTTTCCAATTCACAGCTCAGAGCCCTCACATTGGTAGCTGGTCTTAGGTGGTTACTGAAACTGGTAAATCAGGGTCAGAATGATTTCTAACCTGGTTAAATTACTTATTAGCACACTACTAGACAGGTTGCACTTTACAAGTATAATGCTTCTAGCTTCTAGGCCTCTATTAATTTTTTTAATAGAATTCCAGTCTTACATAGCGATTTAATTAATTTTCTAGAATTTGTTTATTTAACTTTTTTTCCCCCTTACAAAATAGAAAAACAATTACTTCATTGTCAGCATATTTCAAAATCTAGACTCAGACCCTTCATGATTACAAACTGCCACAGGCTCCATAAAAGTGCTTTGGTATTACAAGTCTCAGCCAAACGCAGGCTAACAGCCGATGATAACTACTTAGAATGTGTGCCTGTCTCCTTGGTCCAGCCAGGCCTGAGCTGCCCCTCCCATAGCTCTTCCTCCTCTGGCTGAAAGCTGAATGTTTTTTCCAAGGGCTCAGTGGAGCTGTGGGCTCTAGGATCCGCCCAAACAGCGGAGCTAGAGGAACCTCATCCCATAAGCGGAAGATTGCTTGCCTTTTGAGAGCACAAAGCGATGGAATCCTCCTGGCTCGAGGAGCGCTGGGCACGGCCATTCTACCTGGCGTTCGTGTTCTGCCTGGCCCTGGTTCTGCTGCAGGTCATCAAGCTTTACCTGCAGAGGCAGAGGCTGCAAAGAGACCTACGCTGCTTCCCTGCGCCCCCCACTCACTGGCTCTACGGACACCAGAAAGTAAATGGAAGGGGCGGGGGTGGGATGGGTGGAGAAGGAAGCTGCAGAGAAAACCTGGTCTGCCCAGAGGCAGAGACTTCTCATTAGCCAATGTTCTGAGCATCTTTTGACTCCCTAGAGACTTGCTTCCCTATACCCCAACTAAGAAGGGAAACGCCCTGGTATAGGCACTACACAGGAAGGGTGGGGGCTGGGAAGGAGATATTTAAAGGGCCAGAAATAGGAGGACGTGAGGTATAACTTAGCTCTGTCTCTAATAATTTCATTTATCACGCCTTTAATTTATTTTTTATGTGAGCATTTGCAAAAAATTTGGATTTTCAGTTGAACTTTCTTACACATTTTATAACACTAGATAAATAGAATTATTTACAATGTCTGATCAACCTTATTATTCCCTTTATTCAACTTACCTATTTCTTAATTATTTTTTTTTATGTGAATGAGAGCTTGCAAATACTCTGGATTTTTTTTTCAGTTGAATTTTCATTTGATAACATTAAGGGCAATAGATAAATATAATTCTTTGCAATGTCTGATCAACTTCATTATTCCCTTTATTTAATTTACGTATTTCTTAATTTTTACTCTCTTATCCTTCCCTTCCCATCCTTGTAATCCAAGAATTATTCTATGTGTAAATCTTTTTTAAAAATAGTGACTTTATACAACAGTGCTCTGCAACAGACTTATTTTGCTTAGAATGATGTCTTCTAGATGGATGCATGTTATGCAATGTTTATTTTTTTTATTCTACTTAGTATCCCATAGTACACAGTACTCTGTGTGAATGTGCCATAGTTTATTTATTCATTTGTTTGTGATGAACACTTGGGTTGTTTCCATCTCTGCCATTGTGAATAATGCTGCAGTGAGCATGGCTGTGCATGTATCTGCTCCTATGGTGGCTTTTAGTTGAGATAGAGTACTGAATATCACATAGACTTCCAAAAGAGCAAACAGATATATATACCTTGGGGAAAGTGCAGTTACAGTGCTCATTAAAAGCAAGAATAGAAAAACTTTAAAATACTCTGAGCGTGTTGCTAGGAAAGGCTGTTCTTTGGAAAGGGACATCATGCTTGGAAAGGTGGAGGGTCAGGGAAAGAGAGGAAGATCCTCAATGAAATGTATTAACTGCAGCAATGGGGTCAAGTGTGTCAGAGAGGATAAGGATGGCACAGAAAGGACAGGGTTCAGATCTGCTGTTCATGGAATCACTATGATGGCACCTAACAACAACAATTCACTAGTGGGATTTCTGGATTAAATGGTATTTCTACTCTCAACTTTCCAAAGAAACACAAAACCACATTCCATAGTTATTGTACCATTTTAGCTTCTTACCAGCAGTGCATGAGCTTTTTAAATATGTCTGTGAGGTCAAGTTGGCTAATTGTATAGTTTAGTTTTTCTGCATTTTTGTTGAGTTTCTTTTAAGTTGACCTGTCCTTAGCTGAGAGTGGTGTGTTAAGGTCTTCTCCTACTATTGTGATTGGCTATTTCTCTCTTCAACTCTGTTAACTATTTTATGTATCATGCAGGTCTATCATTTGGTGCAATGATGTTGACCAAGGTTATGTCTTCTTGGTCTGTTCTACTGTTAATCATTATATAGTGCCCATCCTATCTTATATGGTGATTTCATCCTGAAGTCTATTTTAAGAGAGATTAGTATTTCTACTCCTGCTTTTTTGTGGATACCATTTGGTTGGCATGCAGGCTTTGGTTTTCCAGCCTTTAATTTTCAGTCTCTTTTTCCTAATTTCTTAGATGTATCTCTTGTAGGCAACATATTTATGGACTTTTAAAAAAAATCCATTCTGCTCTCTTTTAATTGATGCATTTAAGCTATTCACATTAAGTGCCATTATTGACAGGCAAATTTTATTGTTGTCATTTTGGTGTGTTTCTTGTTTCTGTTGCTTCTGGTTACTATAGTCCATGCACTTTCCTTTATTGACTCTTGTGAAGGAATTCCCTTATAAGTTCTTATAGAGTTGTTGTTGTTGTTGTTATGTGCAGTCGAGTCACTTGTTACTCATAGCGACCCTGTGTACAACAGCCCTCAACTCTGCTCTGTCCTGTGCCAATCGCACTGTCTCTGACACTCCCATCCCGATTATCCCAGTCACTGAATCAACCCACCTCATAGAGGGCCTTCCCCTCCTGTGCTGTCCCTCCACCCTCCCAAGCATGATGTCCTTCCCCAAGGACCGGTCTCTCCTCATAACATGTCCAAAGTATGTTAGACAGAGCCTCAGAATCCTTGCCTCCAAGGAGCCACCCGGTTTAACCCTTTCCAGGACAAATCTGTTTGTTTTCCTAGCAGTCCATGGTATTCTCAATACTCTTCTCCAGCACCACAGCTCAAAGGCATCAATTCTCCTTGTATCCTCCTTGGTCATTGTCCAACTCTTTGATGCATAACAAGTGATAGCAAAGACCATGGCCTGTGTCAAACACACGTTAGTCTCCAGAGAGACACCATTGCTCTTCAGTACTTTGGAGAGGTCCCTACCAGCAGACTTTCCCATAGCAATGTGCCTTTTAATTTCCTGGCTACTGGTGCCAAGAGTGTTGACTGTGGAGCCAAGCAAACTAAAGCTGTGTACAATCTCAATCTCTTCACCATCCATCCTGGCCCAGTGGTGAGAATCTTTGTCTTCTTGACATTGAGCCTCAATCCATATTGTAGGCTGCAGTCCTTGACCCTCTGCAGCAGGTGCTTCAGGTCCTCTTCAGTTTCAGCAAGCAGGGTTGTGTCATCTGCATAACGCAGATTGTTGATAAATCATCCCCCAATCTTGACCCCACATTTCTCCTCATAGAGCCCAGCCTCCTGGATAATCTGTTCTGCATATAGGTTGAAAAAGGTATGGAGATAGGATGCATCCCTGGTGTATGCCCTTCCCAATTTTGAACCATGCCGTGTTCCCTTGCTCTGTGCTGACGACTGCCTCCTGGTCCAGGTATAGGTTTCGCATTAGCACGATCAAGTGTTCTGGGATTCCCATTCTTCTCAGAGTCAGCAACAGTTTGTTATGATCCACACAGTCAAATGCCTTTGCATAGTCAGTGAAATTCAGATAGACAACACTGACACTAATGGTTAACTCCACAATAAGGGATATACCTTTTACTTGCTGGTCTGTCTGATAATTCTCTGAATCTGAACATTCACATTAAGACACACTAGGAAGAAGGATTGGCCATCCACTTCTGAAATAGCAGGCTTCTGAAAAACCTATGTACAACAGAACACATGTAGATAACAGAAAGGACAACTGAGGTTGAGCTTTCAAGTATGCAAATACAAAGGAAGAGGAACAGTTGTAAGCAGACACTAATGGACTCATATGGAATGTGAGAACCATGAATGTAGGAAAATTAGACATTGTTAAGGAAGAAATGGAATGCATAAATATTGACATACTAGGCATTGGTGAGATGAGATGAGATGGATTAGCATAGGGCATTTTGAGTCGGATGATCATATGATATATTACTCTGGAGATGAAAAGGTGAGGAAAAATGGAGTTGCTTTCATAGTTAAAAAAGTCATTGCTAGATCCATCTTGAAGTACAATATTGTGAGTGACAGGATAATATCCATACGCATATAAGGAAGTCCAGTGAATACTACTTGTAGAGTTAGTCTTTGCAAATTCTTTAAGTTCCCTTTTCCTACAAATGACCGATTTTCCCTTTTCATATTTGATGGAGAGCTTTGCTCTGTACAGGAACCTCAGCAGGCGATTGTTTTCTTTCAGCCCTCTGTACATGCCTTCCCATTGTCTTTGTGCTCCCATAGTTTCTTCTGAGAAATCAGACTTTTATTAGTTCTCAAAAAATGCTCTTTGTTATGCTCTTTCTTTTTCTCTCACTACTTTTAGTATTTTATTTTATTTTGGAGAATTTGATGACCATATGCTTTTTTTTTTCTTTTGGGGTCTACTCTGTTTGGAGTTCACTGAACTAGTATGTGGATTTCATTGTTTTCATGATGACTTGAAGACTTTCTTCTAGTACTTCTTACATCATTTTCTCAGGGCTTTTCCTCTTCCCTTCTTGTTCTGTAATTTCTATTATATGTAGGTTGTTCTACTTGATGTTATCCCAAATGATTCTAATGTTTCCTTCATTTTCCTTCTGTCTTTTCTCTGTTTTGTCTTCTAGTAACTGTGTATTGAGCTTCTTATCTTTTAATTTACTGACTCTCTGTTCCAACTCTTCTACTTTTTTGTCCCTTCAGCATGTTGGGATATTCTGCCGTTTCAGTCTTGAGATTCTCTATTGCATATTACTGCATTCCTTTTATTTCAAGTACTGTTAGTTGTACCTTCTCTGTCTTGTGTTGTTTGGTTTGTTTGGATTTATTAGTATTATTATTATAATTATTGTGGTTTCAATTCTTCAACATTTGTAACTTTTTCTTTGATGTTTAAGTAATGCCACATTGATCATTTCTTATGGCACACTGTCTTGGGGTATTTGCTTTATTTATGGTTCAAATTTTTCTTTTATCATTTGTACCTTCTTTAGTAGCTGTTTAAATAATTTCATGATGATATATTTCTTCTGTCTCTATAATCTGGTCTGCTTTTTCAGGAGAAGCCAATTTTGGTTTTCATAACACTTGAAGCTGCCTACTGCTTTTTAGATAATGTGAGAAGTTTTGCATTGTATATGTTAGGCAGTTTCTCTTTTGTCTGTTTAGATTGTTGACACCTTCTTATCTTTATGATTTTTTTTTAAGTTGCAGATTCAAAGCATTTTCTTCCAAATGAGATGGGTTTTGTTTTATTTTTTCCTGGTCCTCTATGGGCAGATCTGTTCCCTGTTTCTTGTTGCTAGCTTATCGCCCAGCTGTCTTTGAGAAGCAGGGAGCTACAGTCTTTCCCTTTGCCTGGTTTTCCTATCCTATAGTTTGAGGGGGTGGAGCGTTCTCTCAGGGTAACCAAAGTCCCAGGAGGGCTGACTGGGATATATTACACAGG